ACAGTTCAGAGGCTGCCTTGGAATCGAAGGAGGTTGAAACTGTGATCAGAGCCCAGGTCTCGGTCTGGAGTTATAGCAGGGGCTCAGCCCTTAACCCCCTCCCAGGGTCCTGGGCTTGAGTGGGCTGGGGGACCAGGGATTCTGAGACTGGAGGTCAACAAGATGGGCAGCTGGGACAGAAGGGGCCCTTGGCCAGGTTTGGGAGGGAGAACATCCACCTCTACTCCCAGGCTGAGCCTGGCAGCCTCTACCCAGGGCAGTGGCCCCACCCCCACATGTTCCTGGGAGTCTAGACTGGGGTGGGTGGTGTACAGGGCGGGCTTGCTCTGGGGAGGGCAGGGCCAGGCATTTCCTGCTGCCGGGTGCCAGGCTCCAGTCCCCTGAAGGGGTGATTCTTTAGTCTTAGAGGAAGTGAGGCAGGGCAAATGGGCAGTGTGTGTGCAGTGCCGCCGGGCCCGGTGGGGCAGGGTTGGGCGGACAGGCAGCTGTAGGAACCAGAGAGCAGGCCCGGCCCTGCAGGTCCCCTGCAGCTATATACACAGTATCTGCCCTCGACAGCCAGCCTGTTGCCCAGCATCCAAGTAGGGTCACCTGGAGACCAGACCCCTGTGGTGACCAGCCCCAGCCTCCGGCTCCCTCCTCCCCAGTGGCTGAGGCTCTGCTGCTCACCTGCTATGTGGCTTAGAGTGGTCACTTCACCCTGAGTCTCAGGGTTCTCCTCTGTGGACTGGGGAAAACTGTGGTACCCACGTGCCCCTGACCTTCTCCCGCCCCAGCATCAGGAACCCACCCTCCCAGTTTGTCCCACTCTTGGGTCCTGGGGAAGGAGCCCATCAGGGTAGAGCCTATCTCCTCCTTGAGCAGAAGCGGCGTTCCAGTCCCAGACTGGCTGCTTGAATGGTTTATGTCACGCAGACGTCCCCAGGGGTGACCCCCCAAGCCCTCTGGCCTTGGCTGAGCTACCTGCCTCCCCCCCCTCTGGTGGCCCCCAGCAATTGGAGCCCCCATGCACTCCACTGGGGGATGAGTTACCAACACCATGGCTGCCTGTGGGCACCCGCCACAAGGCCACCACCCTGTCCCACAGCCCTGCTTCTGAGGCTGTGCCTGGGGCCCCTGATGTCTGGATTCTCGGGCTTCTCTCTGAGACAGCTCTGACCTCAGGGGGTAGGAGGTGCAGTTTCTGTCTTGATCCCCAGACTGGGACCTCTTCCCTAAGGCTCCACTGCTTTCCCTCTTAGGAAGCCCCAGCAAACGCTGGCCAAGTGGAGAAGGGAGGAAGCCTGCCGACTCAGGGCTCCAATTCCCCAGTCCCTAACAAAAGGAGGCAGAAGACAGGGCTGTGTGTGGGGAGAGTCTGCCCTGGGTAGAGCCCTGGCCCCCCTGGCCTCTTGGCCAAGTGCTCTTGGGGGGGAGGCTAGCTCAAGGATGAACAGAAGTGGCCTTCAGCTAGCTCCCACCACAGAAGGTCACTGCAACCAGAGGCTAAGCAGGCGCCTGGTGAGGACTCAGACCAAGAGACCTCCTCTGCTTTCTCCACCCCATGGGCCAGGGGCTCCTCCCCACTTTGGTGCTCTCACTAGGGGCTGGGCGCTGGCTGAGGGCAGGAGCAGAAGCGGAGAGTTTTACCCCTCAGGGTCAGGGTAGCAGATCATCTCACCCAGCCCCCTTCCCAGAGATAGGAAGACCAGGACTCAGGAGGGGAAGGATGGGGGCAGAGCCTGCTGTCCTCGTAGGTCCTTAGAGCGTGGCTCTGGCGCAGCTTTTGCTGAGCCCAAGAGGTAAGGAAGGCGAGGAGGGTCTCCGGATGGATGTGGCTGGGCCGAACCGGGAGAAAGTGCTGGGCTCTGGCCGGGCTGGGCAGCCGGCCTCCCTGCCCGGGGCCTGGGCTGGGTGGGGGCAACAGGGCTCAGGCCGGCGGGCTGTTGATGCAGCCCAACAATGATGAAATGGCCCCTTTGTCCCACGGCGCCAAAGTTTCTGTGACTGGAGGAGGCGTGACGTGAAAGGGTCATTGTTCCCACTTGGGCAGCCACTCAGGGAGCTGGAGGACCGGCCCAGGGTCGGCTTCCTGCCAAGGCTGCAGCCCTGCCTGCTGCTGTGTCGGTCATGGTGTCCTGGGCTCCCGGCCTCCTACCCATGGCCAGCTCCCTCCCTGGGGCCATCCGGAGCCACAGGTACCCAGCAAAGGTGTCCCCCTCCCTCCCCCTCCCTCCCCCTCTGTCCTCTGGTCTGGAACCATGATGTTACAGTGTTGGGGGCTGGGCTCTGCTCTTCATGCACGTGAACCCTGCTGGGCAGGTTGCCTGGGTGCCAGGAGAGCTTGCGGGGAAAGCAGGTATTTTGTCCTGGGGCGAGGAAACATGCCTGACTTCACATCCCAAGGCTCTGGCCTTCGGGGACCCCTCCCTGAACCTTGCAGATTAGGGGAGAGAGGCCCAGAGAAGGGAACTGGGTGGCCCTAGGCCACACAGCATTAGCTAGTCTGTTAACACCCAGGCTAGACCTACCTCCCCACAAGTCCCCACACCTGATGGACCTCCACTCTCTCTGGACACCTGAAGCTCCCTCTTTGCCAGCTCCCACCCCTTTCCTGCCCCTCTAATCCATTCTCGCCTGAGCAATCCATCCCCTACCCCAGCCCACGATCTTTCCAAAACCCAAACCTGATCAGGTCCCTCCTTGGCTTCAAACCTGCCGTGTCTTCCCACATCCAGAGAAAGTTTCAGCTCTTGTGCTGGCATTCAAGGCCCTCACTGTGCTATGGCAGCTAAGGGTGAGAGGCCCTTTTGTAGAGACTGGAGTCTCCCTCAGTCCGTGTGGGGATGCTAACCAAGTAAAGGCCCTTTTATCTTCTGGGGGTCAGCCTCCACTCCTTTGCTCCCACAGGTCCTGCCCCCTGCGGTGCACCTCTCCCCTCCTCCTCCAGGTCCAACTGCCCCTGGCCTCTGCGGCTCAGGTGAAGAGCCAGGAGGCTGGGCAGGGTGATCAATGGCTGGTTCAGGCCCAAGCTGGAGGCCCCCTTATCCCCACCCCAGGTGGCCCCGCTGGCTCCAGTGCCCAGAACTCCTCCCCGGCTCTCCACTGCCCCCAGCAGCTGGCATCAGGCTCAGCCTGACCCAGGCTAATTAAACCCTCCCCCAGCCTAGAGGAGGCTTTGGCTCCAGCTCTAGGCTTTTTTCCCTGGAGGGACGGAGCTAATTAACCGAGAGGGTTTAATTAATCAATTAGCGTGGCCTCCAGACCCCTCCACTTAGCCAATGTGGTGGCAGATATTTATAAACAGGAGCTCTGGCTGGAACTAGAGGGGAGGGCAGGCGACCATGGTGGGCACAGAGGCAGGGAGAACAGGGGCTGCAGAAGCCAGAGATCCTGTCAGTCCCACCTCCTCAGCATCTCCAGAGGCAGATGCAGAATCAGCAACACCTGGACACGTGAGGACGTGTACTCTGGGCACACATGCAACATCTCTGTGTGCGCAGGTCACACAGGCCTGACATCCAGAGCTGGGCAAGTTCCCAGAGGTGCCTCAGACAGTGGCCAGAGGGATGATGATGCCCAGCTGGACCCAGCGTCCTGACAAGCAAAGCCTCCAGGGAATGGGGTTGCACAGAGGGCCATGGGAGCCAGAGGAGGTGCCAGAACCTCAGCTGGGGGAAGAGGCTTGGAGGGCTTTGTGGAGGAGGAGGCATTTGAGCCAAGCTCAGGGACAGAGTAGGCAGAGGTAGCCATTTGAAGGGAGCGGTGGGTGATGAAGAGTATTCAAGGGGAGGAAATAGCAGGGGCAAAGGCCTGGAGGCAGAAACAGCAGAAGCTCCATCTTTACCACAAGATGTCCCCTTCTCTGGGAAGTCTCCCTGACACCTTACCTTTTAGAACTGGGTGTCCCTGAGTCTCTGCCCCTCCAGCCTTTGCAATCTGGGACAGCCCGGACTCAACACTCCCTCCCAAGCCTCCCGAGGTGATGCCAGCTCTCCTCCTCTGCCTCCCCTGCCCAGCCTGGCCCAGGGAACCCACAGATGAATTGTAATCCCTTCAGAAAGGGGGTTACAGGCACCCTCCCTCAAGATGCTGCTCCTAGGGTTGGCACCGGTGGGAGCCCAGGTGGTGTTGGGATTGGGAGGGGTCGAAGACCCCAAAGCCACCATGGACCTCTCAGGCCTGGGATATTTGAGAGTGTTACTGAGTCCAAGCTTGTATTGCTCACTGCATGACAGGCCAGTAAAGCAAGAGACAAGTTGTTGGGGCAAGGAATAACGACTTTACTGAGAAAGCCAGCATACTGAGAAGATGGTGGACTAATGTCCCAAAGAACCACCTTACCAGAGTTGGAATTCAGGCTTTTTTCATGTTAAAAGGGGGAGGGGGTGTGGTTGGTTGGTGCAAACTTCTTGGTGTCAGAATCCTTCCTTCTTGCGTCTGTCAACTTAGCCCAGGTCATGATGTTCCTGTAAACCTCCAACAAGACAAATGTTATTCTCTGTTCTGCAACCTTTTATCTCTACATGAATGGAAAAGTGTTATACCTTTGAAAGTCAGAGCCTTGAGAATGGGCTGTCCTGTATATTTCAGGCTACAGGCAACATTCTTGTAGCAAAAGTAATAGAAGACAAAGGTTAGAGTAAAAGAAACAGGTCCAATATGGAGGCAGATTTGTTCTTCACTATGACAAGAGCAAGTATTCCAGAGTCAGCCAGACGTGCACCCAGACCCCAGTGCAGACCCTTCTCAACTTGCTTTCCTCGTCTGCCCACTGGGGACAATCAGCACCCCACTCCTAGGGCTTCAGGGAGGATTAAACGAGTTCATCATGTAGAGCCAGAGGGACTCGCACTGTTGGTGGGAATGTAAATTGATACAACCACTATGGAGAACAGTATGGAGGTTCCTTAAAAAACTAAAAATAGAACTACCATACGACCCAGCAATCCCACTCCTGGGCATATACCCTGAGAAAACCATAATTCAAAAAGAATCATGTACCACAGTGTTCACTGCAGCTCTATTTACAATAGCCAGGACGTGGTTTTCATATCTGTAAAAGAACTCGAGATGTGCATCAGATACCATTATCTGGGTACTTCAGTTAGCAATAATCGTGCCTCGGATAAACCTCATTGGCTACAATACTGCCACTGTGCAAAGCTATCTGGGTACTTCAGAGAGGGCCTACGGCAGAGGATATGGAGGAGGGGTCTGTCCCAGGAAGGCCCCATAGGGTCCTGCTAAGTTACACTGGGACCCTGTGTTCACACCATGGGTGCTGCCTCCCATGAGGCTCAAGTGCTGCTGGTCCTGCGGTTGTGTCCTTCTCTCCGCCTCTCCTCCCATGCTACAATGGTCCAGTCCCCACCACCCACTGTGACCATGCTAGCCTCCTCAGCGTCCCCTGTCCTGAACACTTGCCCCTCAGCCTGTTCTCCACTCAGAAACTAGTGTTTTTTAATTTTTTAATCAATATTTTAAAAATTGAAGCATTGTTGATTTACACTGCTATGTTAATTTCTGCTGTACAGCAAAGTGATTCAGTTATATATACATTCTTTTTTTTAATATTCTTTTCCATTATGGTTTATCATAGGATATTGAATACAGTTCTCTGTGCTATACAGTAGGACCTGTTGTTTATCCCCTCTCTCTATAAAAGCTTACATCTGTTAACCCCAAACTCCCACTCCATCCCTCCTCCAACCCCCTCTCCCTTGAACAGAACCAGTCTGTTCTCTATGTCCGTGATTCTGTTTCATAGATAGGTTCATTTGTGCCATATCTTAGATTCCACATATAAGTGATACCATATGGTATTTGTCTTTCTTTGTCTGAATTACTTCATTTAGTATGATAATCTCTAGTTGTGTCCATGTTGCTGCAAATGGCATTATTTCATTCTTTTTTATGGCTGAGTAGTATTCCATTATGTATATGTACCACATCTTCTTCATCCATTCATCTGTTGTTGGACATTTAGGTTGTTTCCATGTCTTGGCTATTGTGAACAGTGCTGCTATGAACATAGGGGTGCATGTATCTTTTTGAATTCTAGTTTTGTCTGGATATATGCCCAGGAGTAGGAATGCTGGATCATATGGTGTTCTATTTTTAGTTTTCTGAGGAACCTCCATACTGTTTTCCACCAACTTACATTCTAGGGGATCTTTCTAGTGACAACTATAACTTAACTGTCTATAGTGACAACTATAACTGTCATGTCTAGTGACAGCCATGGGCTTTTAAAGCTCTTTAGGGGCTCCCCTGTCCTCTGGACCACACCCCTCCACCCCCCTGCTGGCCCATCCAGCCCTGGAGAAGGGGCTGCAGCCCCTCTTTGCTTGCAGCAGGGATGGAAGGGCCCTGGGACTGGAGGAGGAGGTGTGGACGTAGAGGGGTGGATGGACATCCTATAGATGCACAGAAGCCACAGGGTAGATGATGCCCCCTGGAGGTATGCGACAGAGCAGACCTGGGAAGGGGACTGCCTTCCTGAGCAAAGGGGGTTTGGCAGGGGCTGGAGTCCCCTGTTCCCTGTCAGGGCTCATCTGGCCCAGCCAGAGACAATGGCGCTGAGGCCTCATCTTACCTCGAGGGAGTTGCTAATGATGGTCTTTAATGGCCTTGCCTGGGAAGGGATGACCTCACCGGGCCACACCCTGATGAGAGGAGGCTGGAGTCAGAGGCAGGCGGCTCCTCCATCACCGTGAGACCTGCTTGGGCTTGTCTTGTCTGAAGAATGAGGGGGCAGTGTGTGTGCGCTCGTGTATCTGGTCCTTCATGCGGCCAGAGGGAGAAGGCTCCCAGCCCGATGGGGGAGGCAGGACCTGGGTGAAAAGTCTCAGGGCAGCAGGGTGGGGAGGCCTTGCTTCTACTCAGCGTCTCTGGCTTCTGTTAAGGGTTTGGGTGTGGGTGTCGGTGTTCCCGGCCACATCCGTGCTGAGGCAGAGGGTCTGCCCGCTGCACACATAGTATCCAGGGGCAGGCCTGCGTGTACCAGGTGGTGGCGGCAGCAGGGGTGGGAGCGGGTTCCAGCACAGGCTTGCTGCCTGCCCCCGCCCTGCCCCATTCGTCAGGGATGACTATGTTTGCACTCTGGGGAGGGGTCCTGTGGAGGTGGCCCCTCTCCTGAGGGCAGCCTCCCCCTCCCCCGGGCTCGGAGCAGGACCACTCTAGGGAAATGTTCATCTCTTTTGTGGTGTCCTTGTCAGACCCCCTTCAGGGTGACTCCTCCACAGTGCTACAAGTTCTTTCTCGTGTCCAGCCTTAGTCACTCTTGCTGTTGCACCTGATTCATTTATCAGAGGACAAGTTGAGGGCCCTATTATCCTGCCACCCAGTCTGACATCACTGAACTTCCCTCGGGCATGTTCCGACTACTGGGACAGCCCAGTCGGCACAGGAAATGGCTGCTGGATGAATGTGCGAGTGAGTGGGTGAGTGACTGAGTGGCTCAGATCCTCCTCCCATGAGAATGCTAAGAAGTGGCTAAGAAGTGGATGAGGGGGTCCTGGGGGCCTGGGCTGAGATGGAGACAGAAACGGGGACCCAAAGGGAGGCAGAAAGAGGGTCAGGAGGAAAGAGATGGGACTGAGGGCACAGAGACGAAGCAGATGCAGCCGAGAGCCAGGTGTCCTCGAGCTCCACTGGCATCCAAGGCCTCAGCCAAAGGTGGCCTGGGACGGACAGGGCCCAGGGGGACAGCACGACCAAAACAAGGTGGAACAACAGGAGCTCAGAGTGAGGCCTGGGACGGACAGGGCCCAGTGGGGGACAGCACGACCAAGACAAGGTGCAACAACAGGAGCTCAGAGTGAGGCCTGGGACGGACAGGGCCCAGGGGGACAGCACGACCAAAACAAGGTGCAACAACAGGAGCTCAGAGGGAGGGACCATGAGGCAGGAACCTGGGACCCAGGGTGGGGACAGCAGTCTAGCACGACCCAGACCAAGGTCAGAGCAAGGACCCAGGGCTCCAGCCACCCAGCCATGACCTATCCCTCTGCCCCCACCAGAAGGAAGCTGCAGGGAACCTCAGCCAGGCATGGTAGTGAGGTGGGAGTTTCTACAGATGAGGACACCGAGGGTCAGAGGCCACCTGGCCTAAGGTTGCATAGGAGGTAGAGTCCCTCAGTGCTTGGTTGGAGGGGCCAGCTCAGGAGGAGACTGCTGCTCCCACCCCCGAGCCTGTGCTTGGGCACGGTGGCACTGCCAGGCACTTACTCGGCCTGTCGAGGGCCCAGCCCCCCGCCCAGCACCCGCGGGCTTCCCCAGCCCTGGCCGAGGGCAGCGAGGGAACAAAGGTCCAGTCTCTGCCTGCTCAGGCCCCCACCCCCTTGCCCGCCCCTGGCACAGAAGGACCAGGGCCCTGAGGGAGCCCAAGAGCCAAAGCAGCCCCCGCCCCTTTGCCGACACTGAGAACCCCCTTCCTCCCCCTCCCACGGGCCTGCTGGCCGCACTGCAGTGTCCCCCCTTCTAGAGATGGGAAGGCTGAGTGAGAGGGCTGAGGAGCTGGCAGCCACACAGCTGGGATTCGAGCCCACCTAGCCCTCCTCATACGCGTGAGGGTGTGACTGTTCCCGTTGGATGTAACTCACGGGGAGAGATGGGGCAGGGACAGAGACGGCAGAGCCTAGATGGCCCAAAGGGGAGTGCTGGGGAAGGGGCTGAATTGCTCTCACTTTTCCGGCCCTGCCCACCTACCTGCCACCCAGGGCTAGTCCAGTGCTGGTCACAGCAGAAGGGATAAAGCCAGGGGAGAGGCAGAGATGGGGAAACGGAGTCAGCCCCCAGGTCCCCCTAAGTTCATGACCGGGGCTCAGTCCAGTCAGAGGTGAAGCCCCTGCGGAGCTTCCGTTTCCCCATCTGTAACACGGGGCTGTGGGACCCACTGGGGGCCTTGCTCCCCAGGCCACGGTCATCATTCTTCTCCAGGACCCTTGCCTGCCCCCTGCTCCCCGCAGGGCCTGGCCTTACGCCTCCAGAGGGGCCTGCATGGAGGGCTGACGCTCATCTGCTCTGGAGAAGCTGGGCACAGCCTAGCCCTCCCTGCAGGCCCAGGTCCAGACCAGGAAATGAACATCAGGTGTTCATCATGCCCGAACGTGAAAAGCACTGGGTATTTGGGTGTGACTGGCTCCACTGTACAGATATAGATACTGAGGCTCAGGGAGGCTGAGGGACCTGTCTGAAGCCACCCAGCTCCTGAGGAGCAAAGCAGGGCTGACCTGCTCACTGACCAGGCTTCACGTCCTGTAAGCATCCCAGGGACAGAGGGGGAAGGAGGGAGCTTGATAAACACACACCCCATGTCCCGTCCACAAGAGTAGAAAGAGAAAGGGTCAGGGCGCCGGGGCCACAGGGGGGCAGGTCAGGAGCCTGGAGCGCTTGGGCAGTCTGGGCAATGTCCAAGTGGACAGCCTTGGGCGGTTCTGGGCGAGCAGGGGCTCAGTTCTGTAACCTTGGTCCATAAAACCTCTCCAAGCCTTGACCTGTTAACCAGTGGGCCAAAGCACATGGAGAAAGCCCAGATGCCCCAGCCTGCCTGCACCTGAGTGGCTGGGGAAATGCCCACACCCCAGCTGCTCCTCCCAGCTTTGGGCGCCTCCAACCAGTCACAGCAAGTGCCCAACAGGCCCCAGGCAGGATCAGGCTGCTGCCTCTCGCAGAGCAGGCACTGGGATACTGGCCACAGTGCCCCTCCTCACTGCCTCCACCCCTGGCCCTTATCAGACACAATTCGTTTTAAAGAAAAAATAATATTTATTTGCAATATAAACAAAGTCCCGTTGCTGGATCGGGATATATATATATGTATGTGTGTGTATATATATGTAGGGTCACAAATTTTCCTTCATAAGTTCATAAAGCAAAACTGGCCACCCTCTTGGCATACCCTCATTTACACAAATCTGATGCATCTTTCTGGGTTTTTCTTTTTAAAGGTAAAAAAGAGAGAAAGAGAACCATGTACAGCATGGAAGCTTTTTGTCAATTTCTTGACTGTGGCAAGATTTTAATCTGCTGCCTTAAAGAATCCCTGAAAACCACCCCTGTGAGGTAAGATGCAGTGGGGGCAGAGTTTCCGTGGCCTTGCTCACATGCTGAGTGCTGGCTCGCTCAGGGACCCCAGCCCGACTGCTCACCCCTCCCCAGGCCCTATGCAGTCCTGACACCTGGGAGAACTGAGGTTGGAGAAGGAACAAAACTGGAGGAGGATAACGGAATCCGTGGCTTTGTTCTGTGGATATGGGGGTGGAGGGATGGACAGAGCCTCACACCCCTTTCCTTGTCCATCCTCGCCACCCACCCCTGCCCTGGGATTGAAATGGGTGCGAGTTTCTTAATAGAAGGCAGGGGCAAGATGAGCACAGGGCAGGCTTTCACGGGTTGAGGGGGCTGGGAGTGGCAGCTGAACCAAAGCAACAACCAGGGTGAGGGAAGAGACTCGGGGGAGGCAGGGCTGGGTGCCACCACCTACACCCCCCCAGCCACTGGACCTGCACCCTCAGCTACCAACAGACAGAGAGAGGAACAAGCAAGTAGGGGGTACATATAAAAAGGGCCTGGGGCCCAGGCCCCCCTCGGGGCTGAGCCCGGAGGGTTAATGCTACTGCGTGGCAGCCCCCTGTGGCCCCACCTCCAGCAGGACAGTGGCAGGGCCTCCCTCTGCTGCCTGGGGCAGTTGGCAGGGACCACCAGAAGGGCAGTTGGGTGGGCAGAGAATGCAAAGGCTACCTGTCCAGCCCACCACTCACCACTCGCGGCAGTCATCACAGGCAAATGCAGCGCCAGGTCGGGCTGGGCCGAGGTGGGAGGTGTGGGCAGGCCTGGGAGTCCAAAGCTGGCGAGAGCAGCAAACCACCCCTTTAAGGGCCGCTGCGGAAACGGAGGCTTCACACATGTGCAAAACGCTTTTGGTCAAGATCAACGCGGGGTTTGTCTTTTCCATTAAAAACAAAAACCCAAGAATTGCTTTTTGAAATAAGAAGAAAAACAAACTGATAACACTTCTCTCTCTCTCTCTCGCAGGATCAAGAAAGGGATGAAATACTGGTTTATACAATCCACTGTTGCATGTAGCCTGAAAATAACACTTCTCATTAAAAAAGAAAAATCAAGAAGAGCTTGAACACTCTCTGCTCCAGGGAGCTCGGGTTTACCTGCCAAAAATAAAAAGTAAACTCAGGTCCATGGATGTGTCTTTAAAAAAAAAAGAGCCAAACTGGCTGGGCCATCAGCAGAAAGGAGTGTCCTGGGACAAGGACGAGGCCCCACTGGACTCCCAAAGCCACATGTCTGAGAGCCGAGGGCCCCTCCGGAAAGTCCTGCCGGGGGAGGCCTGGCTGTGGGCTGCACCCTCCCCGGGACGGTGAGGGAAGCTCACCTCTGGGCACAGGCGATGTCCGGGTTCCTCACGCCAGAGGCAGCAGGCGTGGGCCCTCCCTGCGGGCCCTGTGGAGGCCCGGGAGGGGCTGGCCCGTTGCCCCGTGCCCCCGGCCTCACGTGGACTCGAGCGTGTTGAGTGGGAACAGGTTGTGGTTGGTGGGCGTGGAGAAGTAGAGCTGCTCGCTGGGGGTGTGGTTGTCACACGGGCTGCTCAGCCCCAGCGTCCTCTCGAAGTCCAGCAGCTGCCCCATAAAGTTGAAGTTGGGTGAGATGTTGGACTTTTTCCTCTTGACAAAGTCGTAGGCATCATTGAGCGACAGGTTCATCTTCTGCATCAGGTAGGCCACTGTGACCGTCACCGAGCGGCTGATGCCTGCCAGGCAGTGCACCAGGACACCGCACTTCTTGGAGCGGGCCTCGTCTGAAACACACAGGCATGGGTCAGGGCAGCACCTCCTCCAGGGAGCCACCGCAGGTGGGGCTGGGGGCAGCATGGTGACTGGCTGGTGCCTCCCGAGTGACCTGGTGAAGTCCCACGCGGGTGGGACAGCAACTTGGGGTCAAGGTTAAGAGCATGACTGTGGAGAGGGCTCTGCCACACGGTAGCTCCAAGTCACTGGACATTTCCTGCGCCTCGGTCTTCTCCTGTCAGAGGGCCTGCTTACTCACAGTGCTCTTAGAGGGACGTGAGCCAAGGGGGGGGCGCCACAAACACTGTGATCACTGCTAGTCCTACTGCTGCTCTAACCGTGTGCTACTACATGCCAAGGTGTCACCTGCATCCTCTCAGGTCATCTGCACCATGGCTACCAAGTTAACTTTATAAATGAGGACACAGGCACAGAGACCAAGTAAGGAGCACAAGGTCACACAAAGGTTCCTCCTAACTCGCCGCACTCACCCCCGCTAGCCCACGACCTGGGGCTCGGGGCTGAGCTTGCTGTCCTGGGGCAGCTTCCATGGGTGCCCCCGAGAGCCTCCTCAGAAACAGGCCTCATGAAGGCTCCTCCACAAGAGAACGGCAGGCAGCACTCGGCTCTGCCCTCGGCCCAGCCAGTCCCCGGGGCCTTAGTCCTGCTCCGGAATAGCCAGGGGCTGGGACCAGGGCCACGCCTAGTTTCACGAGTGGGGTTTGCTTATGTGGGGCCTACCCAGACCACTTACTAGACTTTCCCTGGCCCATGTGCCAGTGACATCTCCCACCACAGCCAACCAAGTTCTGCCAACTCTCCCCTCCACCGCTCCTCCCGGATTCCCCCAGTGCGGTGCTCAGACGCCTATGCCTGACAGGCAGTAGGAGCTCAAATACCGGTTGAGCCACCGGCCAACTCAGTCCTGTAATCTCTCCTCCCCTAGACCCGAGCACAGCTGCATCTCCGTGCCATAGCTGTGCCAGGGGCACAGATTAACAAGAGGCAGGCCTGGGGTCCCCAAGGTCCCCGCCTGAGCTCACTGGGAGCCAGGTACACTCCTTCAAGATGCACTCCTACAAAACGCCACAGGTTCACAAACTGTTCCTCGTATGGCACTCACTGCTTCTGGCCTGGCAGGACTTCCCTTCCCTAAGCCCACATGAGGGTTCCCAGGGCAAAGCATGCAGTAGGTGCTTAATCCAGACTCGGGGACCAACTGGGGGCCAGACCAGCGGGGGAAGAGACCGACGTCATGGATTCGCGTGGAACCACGCTGTCTGACCTTTAGATTTGGGGCAGGAGAAGGGGGTAGTGGAGACAAGCCTCCAGTGGTGACACATCAAGATAAGGGGAAGGCCTGGTCCCCAAACCCACTCCTAGGTAATCCAAAGTCAAACCTCTTCCGCTGGCTTTATTTTTAGCCCTCTAAGGGTGTGGCGGAGCCTCGGGGGTGCTGGGGCTTGATCCTGCCCCACTGAGTCCTATGGGATGCTTGGGCTTCAATTCCTTCACTTGTCAAAAAGGGAGTATGGTTCCTCCCACCTCTACACCCTGTTCTGTCCCCCTCCCCAGATGTAAAAGGACCTCCAAGAACGATAAAAACACCTACAAACCAGGCTCAGCCCTGGGAAATCCGGGGGCCCCCTCTTCACCCCCCTCTTCACTGGGGAGAGCACAAATGCTGAGGCAGCACCCACAGCCCTCTGGGCCACGTCCTCCCAAGCAGAGCTGGGAAGCTCTGGATAGCCCCCGACACAGCCCCTCCCCCAGGCCTCAGCTTCCTTCCTTCCTCCCAGCCAGGCACCTACTTTTGGTTCCCAGTAAGCGGATGAGGCGGGGAAGCCTCCCACTTCCTGTTATTAACGCGAGCCCAGCCCAGCTGACACCAAAACGCCCTCCACTGGACATAGCCGCCAGAGGGAAAAGACTGCCGGGCCACCCCCTCCCTGCCACCGGAGGCTGGACAGAACACTGGGTCACTAGGCTCGGAGAGCCCAGGGTTTACATTCACCCTGATCTTGTGTCCCTTTCCTGAATCCTGGGTGAGAGCTGAACCCAAAGACGACCTGACATCTAAACAGCCTCCAGCTGGCCAAGGAGAAAGCAGGATGGGAGGTCAAAGATAAGGAACCCGAGTCAGCTGAGGCTGCGGATGCAGGGGGCTCAGAGGGCGCTAAGCCAGACAGCAGAACACACTGCTCTGGGGAGGACTTCCTCAGCCTCTCCCCATACTCTCCGAATACCTCCTATATGCCAAGCAAGCCCCACAGGCTGCCGGGAGCATCTGAGGCCCCGCCGAGGCCCTTTGGGTCATCACGTTCCAACAGCTGCCAGTTAGGGGGAGGCCTCTGGCTCCAGGCCACACTTTAGCCCCCTCAGGTACACAGTAAAGCCCAAAGAGGCTCCGTGACAGCCCCTAAACAGACATGTGCGCTGAGGCGTGACGCAAAGCAAGCAAGACTCGTGGGAGGTCTGAGAGCTGGGACGTTTCAGCTTGCTGAGCCTGAAACAGCACAGCCAGAAAAACCCAAGCTGGACAGCAGAGTCCACGAGGCTCCAACAGCTGCAGGGAGCCTGCGAGTCGGGGGACTGCTCAGGCCCCGAGGGCCTCGGTGACGCATAGTGGGCCTGGGTACACCCATGGGCACACGCTGGCACATGCAGGGCACACACAGGTCTTGACAGGCCCAGAGATACCCAGCCAGGCACGGGCAACACCCAGAGTCCCATACACACCTTGATGCGCAAGCCCACCCACCCTGGCCGAAGCGCAGCAGCACTTACCTATGAAGCTGATGGCCTCAGGGAAGAACTGGGAGAGGTTCTGGCTCCAGTGGTCAGAGATGGGGATCTGCTTGTAGGTGAACTCGCCCCCGTGCTCGAAGGCATTGGGCAGGTTGGGCGTGACGTTGAGGATATACTTGATGCCGTACTTGCCGAGCACATCCAGGTTGGTGGAGTCCTTGGCGCAGCCGAGGTAGAGGTAGGGCAGGATCTGGACGGGGAAGGCCGGTTGGCTGGATGGCACAGGGCTGCCGTCTGACTCGGTGGCACTGCTGGGCAGCTCTCTGTCCGACTCACCATCTGAGCAGTCAGAGCTGATGCGTAGGCCCCCCAGACCCAACACTGAGGTGGGCGGTGAGCCGCTCGGCGAGGACGAGCTGTCCACGTTGGTCTCGCAGTGTTCTGAGTACTCTGTCTGGAACTTGTTGAAACCACCTGTGGACAGGATGAGACAGGGCCTGGATGAGAGACTGACGATGCCAGTGACCCCAGACCAAACAGGCTGCACAAGACCAACAGCAGCCACGGTTCCCCACGGCAAGCACCGTAACACCAACAACGGACAACACGGGCGGTGCTACATATTTACACATGTACCTCCTCCTGTTTTCTCCACAACTATCCTATGATCCACTTCACAGATGGGGAAACTGAGGCCCCAAGTGATAAAGTAACATGCTTGAGCTCCATACCCTTGCCCATAGGGCTTCAGGGCCCCAGCCATACAACCAGCTTTAGGGCACTTGAGGACAGACTCCAGCTCATTCCTCTTCCACAGCTCCCATGTACACCTGGCACCCATGGGTGCTCAGTAACTGCTAAGCGGTAAAGGAGAGCAAACCACCCCATCTCAGGCCAACACCTGTGGGTTTGCAAACCCCTCTTATAGATGAGACCGCAGGGGCCAGAGCTGCATCTGGGTCAGCTAGAGGCAGAGAGGGCCTGGGCCCCCTGACTGGGAATAGGGTGCTTGAGCCCCACTCTCAGCCACACGGGAAGTAGTGTGAAGGTATCTGTTGGCTCTTTACCAGGGCAGGGGCAAGTTCATAAAAGGGGTCCCAATTCCACCTCTCCAGAACCCACCCCCTTATAACACAAGGTCCCTCTCAAGCCTCGGACCCACAGAAGGGGAAGCTGCTGGGGGCTTTACAGGGACAAGAAATGGGGAGCGCCTTGCAGCTAAGGATGGGCCCTGCGCCCGAGGGTGCCGCAGGCCTCCTCTCCCCTCCCGCCTGCCCGCCCCGCTGCCAGCAAGAGGCCATTTTGGAATGTTAATTGGAAACACCGGCTGCAGCCACTCGCCTCCCAGCGCTGCCTCCCCCTTCCACAGTCTCTGGGGTGGCAGGCTAAGGACTTGGGGGTCCCAGAAAACCAGAGCTGGGGCAAGGAACACTGCTTACAGCCGTGCCCCAAGCGCCTCCAAGAGGCGGTGATTCCCAAGTGATGAGACCCACGCGGGGATGCCCGGAGTCCCCCAACCCAAATGATCCCTATTCCCTGGCGGGGGCGGGGACGATTATTAAAAACTCCTGTCCTAACCCGGGCCTTCCAGGAACACGCATTCCAGTCTGTAGAAGCTGAACTTGGGTGCCCAGGAGGGGACCCTCCCTCCTTTGAGGGGCTCACGGGGAACCTAGGAGCTGCTATGGCCCCAACAACACGAAAAAAGGAAAGCCCAGGCGGGGAGAAGTTTGTTCGACCCACTTAGATCGTGCCCAGAAAGGTGTAGAGGAGGCCTGCGTATCAGCCTAAACCCGCACAGCTGGGGCCGGACGCCCGGGAGAGGAGAATGCGGGCCGGGGGCGACGTGGCGCCGGCCGGGCAGGCTGGGTACGGGGAGAGAAAGCGGCCTCCGGCTGGGGCACCCGGGAGCCGCGGGAGAGCCCCAATCCCAGACAGGGTCTCGGTGCTGCCCTCACCTTGGAGGTAGTAGGCCTGGCAGCCGTCGTCGCGCAGCTTTTGCAGGAGAAGGCCAAGCACCGAAGCGGGAGCGCCAGGCTCTGGCTGCCACTCGGCCGTGGCCTCGTCGTAGAGCAAAACGGTGGCCGCCTTGCAGCGCGTAGCGAAACGCTCCTTGTCGGCGTGGTTGGGGATGATGGAGCGGATGGGCAGGTTGCCCTTGCGCAAGCGGCGCAGCATGAGGCCCGGGATGGCCAGGTTGATGGCCGTCTCGATGTGCGACGACTCGAAGAGCTCGTGCGGCCGGCAGTCGAGCAGCAGCAGGGACGCGCCGCCGCGCGCCTCCAGCTCCTCCTGCAGCCACTCGGCACTCTTGCAAGGCATGGCCCCCGCACCCGCCGCCGCGCCTGCCCCGGTACCGGCGCCGGAACCAGACCCCGCACCGGGCTCCGACCCCGCCCCGGTGCCCCCAGCCGCCGACGCCCCCGAGGCCGACATGTGCGCCCGCGCTGGGGGGCCGCGGAGCTGGTTTTTCATGGGGAGCGCGGGCGGCCCGGGGCCGGGGCCGGGCAGCCCTGCCCTGGGACGGCGCCCCGGCCGCGCGGGCCCCAGCCGCGTCTCCGGGCGCCCGCCTCCCGCCGAGCTGCACGCCCGCCGCCCCGGCCTCCCGGCCTCCGTCCCGCCCGGCCCTCCGCGCGCGCCGCGGCCTGACAGCCCCAATTAAACGGCGTCTCGGACGGCCGCGCGCCGAGGCGTCCTCCGGAGGGCGGGGCCGCGGGGCCGGCGCCCGAGCTTAAAGGCGCCGTACCTCCGCCGCCCCTCCCCACGGGGTACGCGGCCGCGCGAGCAGTCCCGTGTGCCCGGAGACCTGCGCCCCGGCCTTCGCCCCGCTTCAGCGCTGCCGCCGTCTCGCCTGGCCCAGAACTGATTATGACTCGCCTGGGGGCCCGGCCAAGACCCTCTCGGTTCCCCTATCCCGCGCTCCCAGCTCTTCTGTGCCCTACCCTGAAGGGCTGCCCTGGGGGCGTCCTGCGCGTGGCATCCCCTTCCTACGTTCACGGAAGCAGAGTTTCCCCGGGGTTGGGGCGGAGGGAAGGGGCGATCAGGCTGAGCCAAAGCCCCCTCCTCCTGTCAACTCCATTCATTCATTCTCAGCGAGTTCATTCAACAAATGGAAATTGAACGCCTACTACGTGCCATGACCTGTGCTTAGGCGGTCACCGTTTCTGGCAACTTGCATAGTCCCAATGAGGGCTACACGCTTAAAGACCTGAAGGTAGTCTCACCCCAGCAGGCCTGAGGGGAGATCAGCACCTAGGCAACTGGCGGAGTAGGACGGCCCAAGGCCGTGCCACCCTCCACGGGCAGGGGTGAAGAAATCCTGAAACGACCTGGGAAGAGAGAGCGGGCCCTTTAAGGAAGCTTCAAAAGCGGGGTGGTGACAGGCGCCGAGTGAAGCGCCACGTGACTTTTCCAAGGGAGCGGGTGCTGGGGGGGGATCCTCTTTAATCGGCTCTCCTCCTCCCACCTCCCAACGCACCAATCAACTTTCGTGGTAGGCGGGAGTGCGCCACGCAGGTGGCCAATCGCGGCCGAAGGAGACGGTGGGGCGGAGAGAGGAAGGCGGGGCCCGCCGAAAGTTCCACCCAGCGCGGGAAGTGGGCGGGGTCTCAGCGAGCGCTGTGTATCGGCTCGCAGGCTGCCTAGGCGGAGTAGGTGAATGGATCCGCAGGTAGCGCTGGAACAAAGCGGCTCGACTCGAACGGTGCGCGTGCGCAGGGCCTGCCGCACTTTCCCTACTGAGTCAGGGTTGTCTGCGTCGGGAGGGAGCTCGCGGCTGATCCTGCGGTTCGTCTGGTCCGTTCCCTGCTGGGCGGAGTGCTCCCACATCCTTGGGGTTTATCCTTCCCACTCTGCCCGAGGCTGGTCAGCTCCCCGCCACCTTGCCTCTACACCCAGCTGGAGGGAGGTTAGCGTCAGAGATGAAGGGCGGTGGCGCTTGAGATTTGCCGAAGGGAGTGCTTCTGGAACCCGCAGGATTTGAGCTTTCTGCTGACAGGAAGGCACGAAGAGGGGCGGCCCTGGGTTAGTACCCGCTGCCCACCTCCCTCCCCCCACCCCACTTTGTCCATGCGAAGGATAGTCTATGTGAAGGGTTTCATCCCGCTGCAGGGCTGTGTCGAAAAGAAGCAGGGATCTCTCCCACAGTCACACTCCCAGCAAGATGACAGCACTGCAATCATAGGTGGCCTTATCACCCAAGATTCGATGCCCAGAGAGGTGATAGGAGAATCAGGTCTCTGGCCTCCCGCGCAGGCTTGTCCTAGGGTTGCTGGGCAGAGCCTACTTCCCTGGGGACCTAGGACGAGTGGAAAGGGCTCCCGGGGCCTGAGGGGCCTAGATGTGGATTCTGCCCTGCCACCTGCTGACGTGTTGTGTGGCCCGAGTATGGTTCCCACCTCTCTGGGCCTCAGTTTTCCCCACGTGGGATCGTGCTGGTCTGGACAGTGCCCAGCCAGTCCATCACAAATCTGTCAGCCTGGGAGGGTGGTTCTCTGAAGCCAGGCCCCTTAGCCGGTAGTCCAGGTGCTGGTTGTCAGGGATGGAGACAACCAGCACCTCACTCAAAAGGCCTGAGCAGACCCACAAGGGAGGGGACCTGCTGGCCAGTGAGTCATTCCTCAACGGGCTTGTTGGGGGCCTGTTGGAGCTTCGCCTACAGCAGTGCCTGATGAGGAGTTGACCATTGTTCTCACTAGTGGGGGCACAACTGCGAGGGGACCCTCCACCGTGCCCCCCCCCCGCCGTCTCCATCCCCCGTGCGCGAGGAAGCCCCTCACAGAAGAGGGGAGGAGGCCCACCACCCCTCACATTAGCTTGTGATGGCTCCCTAGTCTCCCTCACCCTCTGGACTCCTCTAGCGGGGACAGCTACCCTGGAGGAGAGACCTGTGAGGATGTGTGGAATTGGGAAGACTCCCTGGGGGGTGGGGGGCATCCTCCCGCAGGGATGTAAAAAGAGGCAGGGTTTGACTGAGTACAGGAGAAGGGAGAGCATCTGGGGAGGGGGTGACAGGGGGAGCAAAGGGGTGGAAGAGAATTAGCCTGACCATGGGAGATGCTGCAGTGGTCCTGGGCCCCCATCACCCTGGCTGGAGGAGAGCCCCAAAGCCTTGGTTCCTGAGTGGAAGCCCTGCCTACAGTCTTGAACCGCTAGACACAATGTGTAAAGTGGATCCCAGCAGGGCTGTCCTTGGGTGTTAGGGAACGGGGCAAGGGACAGACACAGAACCCTCTGACATACACGGCTCAGAGCATAACAAGAACTTGCCTATGGTCAGACAGCAAGAGGCCAGAGCTGCCCCTGCCCAGGGCCTTGCTCTGCACCTGTGACCCTCCCTCAAGGATACTGGAAGAGGGGACCTGGTACCTTGGGTGAGAGCTTGGGATCAAAGACATTCCTCCTCCTCAGGAATGTGGCCTTTCCTGCCCTTCAAGGTTCAGACCCTCCCTCACCTGCAGCCCCTGGGAGAGGTGCCCCACTCACTAGGGTCTCCCTGAGGGGCAGGGGGGCCCCAGAACAGGTGTGAGTCCCTGGGGGTGATTGGGTCTCAGGAGGGGAGCTGCGGGTGGGGTGTGTTTGAACTCTCTGCGGGCTGTACCCCTCTCCCACACCCCTCCAGGCCTTTACACATGCTCTTCCCTCAGTCAGGACATTTTTTCGCCCTCACCTTTTGCCTGCCTTCTAGAATATCCCAGCTCAGGTGTCACCCTCAGGGAGGCTTCCTCTGATCCTCCAGGCTAGATTAGCCCCCCTGATCTGTGATCCCAGGACCCCTGCCCCCCAACTTTGCTCTGGACTCTATCACAGTCATGGTTACACCGCCCACCAGACTTTCTCCCTTTGGATGTCCAATGGTATGCCTGCCCCTCCTCAAGGCCATTTCTCCTCCTGCCGTCTCTGTCTCATCCCTCGTCCCCCAGTTGCCAGGCCCAAACCCATGAGGCACGTTTGGAGCTACCTACCCTGTCTGCACATATCCAGCCCCAGAGCCACACAGAGAAGGGGGCTTCCCAGCCCGGCAAGGCTTAGCTGTGATGGTGGGATGTTTGATGTGAACTAAACAGATATGAACTGGTGTGTACCACCCCCCCCAAACACATGTCCACATGGCATGGTGACCTAGGAGCCGTGTCACCAAGAATAGTTTAAGCATCTTGGAAGCAGACTTTCCTTTTCTCACTGTTGCCCCTGGATTTCTTAGAGATGGGCCAGCATGTTTGAATGGCATATGCTGGAGGGGCAGGAGGGGAGGAGGGTCAGTTTCTTGCCCTCCTACCCTAAAGAGGCTAGCACAAATTTGGGATGAGCTCCTGCTTGCTTCCAGGAGGGCAGCTTTCCAATCAAGGTCTATTTCCCACTATGAGAGCTGAGCAGGGGCTGGAGCAGGGGCTGGGGCAGGGCACTCCAGTCCGTGATGCCTGCTGCTGGTGACAGAGCTAGTCTCTGCCAAGGGCAGCTCCACTAGGCTGGGGGAGATGTGCCATCAGAGCCCTGCCTGAAACCCAGACTAGGGGTCACTATGCTTGCCCCTGACCCTTGGGGCAGCTTCTCCCGCATCCCTTGGTGAGGTGCCTGCCTGGGTTACAGTCAGAACAAGTAGTGTGTAAGCCAGGCCAGGAGTGGACTGTGAAAAGCCTGGCAACTCTCCTGCCCTACACAGAACTCCTGGCTGTACACATCCATGCATGTGCACGCACGCACACACACACACACACACGTAAGGACACATAAGACAGGCCCAAACACCCATAGATCTACCTATACATGCATATATGCTCACAGGCACATAAGCGTGTACGTAGAAATACACAAATACAGACCTATGCACGAGTGCAGAAATGTACAGTACACATGTACACACACACTGACTGTGACATGCACACATGCCAACAGACCCTGTATGTGTGGCCACTTGCCACTCTTGCTGGAGGGGTGCCCACAGACAGATAACCCAGAGAGGCTGTTACAGGCTGTTGGAATCCATGTTCTTCTCCCACAGCCCTCCAGTCACCTGGGCTCACCCTTCCATATTGGCCATTGCTGGGATCTCTGTGGTGACTAGTTCTGGATGGAACGGAAGTCCATCCCGGCCTGCCTCCCAGCAGGGGGCTGCCAGACCCTGGGTGATGGCAGCATGGCACAGGGAAGCTGTTGCCTGGGACAGCTCTGCTGCTGGGGGCCCAGCCTATCCACCCTCTCCCTGCCCTGCCCAGGTGCTGGGGCAGAGGGGGTAGGAGGTCAGGGCAGGTTGGGGCAGGTCAGGTGAGAGAGAGGGCCACACCCAGGAAAATCAGAGAACAAAACCTGGCAGGATGGAAGCCAGGGCCTAGAAGATCTGGGAACTCCCCAAAGCCACCTGGAGAAGGTGGAGGGGAAGAGCGGAGAGCCTTGCCTCTGGAGGAGCCTCCCCTCCCATTCAGGCTCATTTTCTGAGCAACTGCCCTGAGCAAGGGAGTGTGCAGGGCAGTGAAGTGGGACCTCAGAGGGGGAACTAGACATATGTAATTCCTCTCTCCCTGCTCCCCACCCAGCAGTGACTGCAGGCCCTTGGCCAACCTCCCCAGGTGGACTCCCTGGGGCATGCCTTTCCCAGCCACACACCAGCCCACTGGGGCCTGCCTCAGTGTGGAAGACTCACCACTCGGCCACGGTTCATCCCTGGCAGGCATTACTAGTCAATCACAGGACTTGCTGAACCATCCTCTGGCCTGAAAACCCTTCCAAGCAGGCAGGACCAGTTGATCAACTGTGGTAGACATGGGAGGTAAAACCTTTTTGCTAACGTCTCAATTCATAGCCAGACCAGCTATGCTTCTCTGTCCCCACCCCCAGCTCACTTCACTCTGACCACCTCCTGCTTCCTACTTGGTGCCCAGACACAGCACCCCTGCCTCCACACACTTCCTCATTCCATGCCTACCCCCGAAATTATCTCCAGCTTCTGAGGGGCCATGGCCTCAGGAAGCCTGCCCTGCTTAACCTCAGCAGAGTCTGCTCCTGGTCCGAGTCCTCCCCTGCAGGGCCCAGCATTTTCCACTCTCTACCCAGTGGAGCCTCCCCGCTGCGACTTCCCCTGTGTGAGCCTCCCTTCATCACTGGAGTCCCCCACGTGGTCATGCAGAGTCCTGGGGCCCATCCAGGCCTTTCTCATGACCCCAACTGCCCTCTGTTCCAAGCTGTCTTGGGCATGGGGTTCCCCTCAGAGTATGGGGGTCTGCTGGGCTGGTCAGCCTGGGCAAGTGAACATTTCAAGGCCTGCTCGGGGCTGGCTGACTTGGGACTGATGTCAAGCAGGCCTGATCCCAGCACAAAGGCCCTACCCCATGGCCCTCATGCCGGTGCAGTGTTCGCCAACTCAGCCCCGCATTGCCCCCGTGTCCCCAGTGAGGTGAGCAGAGCAGGGCTTGTCTGTCCATTCTACAGATGAGAAAACTGAGGCCTAGGAAGGGAAATGTCTTGCCCAAGGGCCTGGCTCCAGCCCCAGCCAGTTACTCACTTACCCATGGGGCCTGGGGTGAGTCATCGTGGCCCAGGTGATGGGAAGGAAACACATAAACACGAGCAAGTGGGAAGGACGGTCTGGTAGGAGGGTTGACATGCCTGCCTGGGGCTCCCACACACAGGCCCCTGTGGTCTTACTGATCAGGAGCCCACCTGACGGTTTCAAGTCTTGTTTCCTTCTGGCCCCGTGTCCAGGCTTTGCACCAGCCCTGGGAGGGCTGTCAACTCATTTGACAGGTGGGGAAACTAAGGCCCATGGTTACAACCCCAGCTGTGGCAGGGGGCTGGGCCCCAGACTAACAACCCAGAGCTCCTTTCCCCCAGCCCAGGGGTTTCCAGCTGGCTCTTACCTGGCTCCAGGCTCTACAGGGAACCCCTTGTTCTACCAGCTGTTTCCTGTCACTGGGGTGGAAGGGGGCCAACACTGCCAGGGTGGGGGCATGGGCAAGCTACTCGCCCCATAAGGAGCGGGGCTGTATCCTGCACATAGCATGTGTGCTATCAAATGCTCTTTCTACTTCCATGGCTAATCCTTTCCTACCCAGAATCTGTCCACTTTCACTACACAGTCCAGGCCCTCCTATCTCTCCCGTGGACCATCTCCCTAGCCTTCTTCGCAGCCTCCCCACCCAGCAGCCAGAGGGATCTTTTTTTTTTTTTTTTTTGCGGTACGTGGGCCTCTCACCCCCGCGGCCCCTCCCGTTGCAGAGCACAGGCTCCGAGGCTCAGCGGCCATGGCTCACGGGCCCAGCCGCTCTGCGGCATGTGGGATCTTCCCGGACCGGGGCACGAACCCGTGTCCCCTGCATCGGCAGGCGGACTCTCAACCACTGCGCCACCAGGGAAGCCCCAGAGGGATATTTTGAGAATCAGACCTGGTCCTCCCCTGCTCTGAAGCTTCCCACCATCCGGGCACAGGCCAGCATGGCCCTCAGTGATCTGGCACGGCCCCTCTCCCCACCTCCTCGCCTCCCATCAGGGTCCAGGATTCTCTGGTTGCCCAGCCCAGGCCCCTACATCATCTTGCTCTCTCTTCAGGGCCTTTGCACTCACTGGTCTGCTTGTTGGAGCCCTCCTGTCCTGGCTCTTTCCTTTGACTACGGCTTATCCTTGCCCCCAAACCAGCTCATCCTCCAGAGCCAGGGGGGGCACTGGGAAGTGGGATCCCGCCTTTCTTCTGGACTCTGTGTTGTCAGCCATGAGCACATGGTCCTGTGATTTAAAATGCCTTTGGCTCTTCTCTGCCACACTGGAGGATTCCAGAAACCTCTCACTTCCATTCTCCACCTGGGCCTCAGCCAGTCCTGCATGACCTGCCCAGAGTCAGAAGGCTTCTTACCATGAAGGGATGGCTCCCCGCTCCCACCATGTCTGGCAGGGCCTCATCCTTGTCCTTGGGCTGCAGGCCTCAATTTCCCTGTTTCAGAGAGAGCACTCCACCCACAACTCTGGTGCAGCTTATCCTTCCTCTGCAAATTGAGCCCAAACTCCCACCTCCTGGTGGACCCAAGGGTCCCTCAGGTCCCAAGCCTGGGTTCCAGTCCTGCATACCACCACTCTCAAGCCTGGAAGAGGGGCTGGGATGCGTGGGGGAAGCCCCATCTGCTGACACTGAGGTCATCCCTAGAGGGCCAGGAGAAACAGCTCAACAGCCCCAAGAAACCAGGCAGCTGGCTCTGATTTCCTTGGGGTTTGGAGGAAGGCAGAGTAGAGAGGAAAAGGACTCAGGTAAGTTTGGCTGGGCTGGCTCCCTGCCCCAAAGTCATAGGTCAAGGCGAGCCCTTTCCTCTTGCATGCCGCTCACCAGAATCTTTGCCCTGGGCTGATCTCCCCTCCATTTTATGACACTTTAGGGCTTGTGGGCAGCACCTCATGAGCCCACCTGGGGCTCTGAGGGATGGAAGCCAGGGCTTTAGGGGAGCAGGGGTCCTTGGCTGCTGGCCTCTAGCCACCGTATCACCCTTGGCCTCCCACTTGAAGCTTCTGATCCTTCTGAAGCCACCTCTGCCAGGAAAGGCCTGGAGCCCCAGTGGTTTGAGCAGGGGTAGGGGACAGGAGGGTGACTCGGGCAGGGATTCCCAGCCAGAGCAAAGGCAAGGAGCAATGATGGAGTCCGGGATGGTGCCCTGGTCCATCTTTGCCAAACCAGCTATGGTGTTTTGATTAGGAGAGCCAGCTGTGGCAGGCTCCTGACAGTAAAGCCAATCCAACCTCTGAGGCTGGGAGGGCGAAGGGGGCTGGGAATTCCCAGGGCACCTGGCAGGCGGATGTGCCAGGGGTCTGGGCTGGGTCTGCTTCGGGTGGGCCAAAGGGCGGTGCCTGGTAGGTCTCGCTGTAGCTGCCAGGCCTACTTGCCTCATTAGCATCTGCCTACTGCCAGCCTGGGCCTGTCTGGTCCCCTCCCCATCAGTCCACACAGCCGTTTTTCAGGAATTCCTCCTATAAGGCTTTGATGGTGACAGTGATGGAGATCATGTGACCAAGATGAAGTTGGGGAAATGGCCTGGGAACCAGCTGGCCTGGCCCTGACACAAGGTTGTTGTGTTGAGGCCTCAGCGCTCAGCCCTGTTCTAGGTTTCATGCCCAACACCATCCCATATGGGCTCAGCTGTCCAGCGGTCGCCTGGAGCTCTATGTGCCATGTTCTCAGGTAGGCAGGCATGGGTGGCAGCACTAGGAAACAGTCTGGGGAACTCCCCTTCTTGATGTGGCCTCACCCAGCCCTATTCCTGCCAGAGGGGCACATGCCCTCAAACCTGGGATACTCCCTCCCTGCAAAGACTAGGGTCCTCTGGGAGAGAAGAGGGACCAGTGAACTCTCAGGGCTCCTAGTGGGGCCCTTTGAGGTTGTTACAGGGAGGACCAGGGATCAGCTCTGCTTAAGGCCCCCTTCCCACCTCCCTGCCCCTTGCCATGGCTTATGCAGTCTCCCATTAGAAGCCAGCACTGCCCTGACCCCCACTGCCAGATGGGACAGCCCTCTGGCCTGAGCCATAGGGGTGGCTCCGAGACCAGGGCTGGTGGGGGTGAGGCACTGAGAAGGCAGTTTGGCCAGAGCTGGAACTCTCTGTCAAAACCTCCCCAGAAACAACAGGCCAGGCCCAAGAACTCAGGCTGGGGAGTGGCTGAATTCCCCAGGCCATGAGCACTACTGGGACACAGAGCTCCCACATAGGAGGCAGCTGGAACCCCCGGATCTGGGGTGCTGCTGTGGACTTGGGTGGCCCCTGGAGGTGCCCCAGCCTCTTCATCTATAAAGTGGGGCAATACCTTCTGCCTACCCTAACTCCCAGGGGTGCGGGGCAGCTAGGCAGGTTCTGCCTCGGAACTGTCAGAGGGAAGGGTCTCTTTCGCCTAAGGGGCTGGGCACAGACTCCCAACCACCCCCATGCACTGCAGGAGTGCCTTGGCCTGACACCTGTACCAGACGAGGTCAAGTGCTGACCACCTGCCAGACCCTGCGCTGGACATAGCAGGACAACCCGTTGTGGCCCTCAGATGACCAAGGTGTGAGTGTGCCATGTGTGTTGGGACAGGGCATGGGTAAGATGGGAGAGGTGGAGACTGGGGAGGCTGCCTGTAATGCTGACTCCACCACCGGCCTCCCCTCTCCAGGCCTGTTTCCTCCTCTACAGAATGGGGTACCGTACACCATGCGAGGCTGCTTGAGGCAGGAGGAAACATGCTGTGTGAAGGCTCCAGTCCAGGGCTGAGCTCATGTCCCCCTGCTGAGCCCTCTTATGCCTGGACAGTGGGGAGAGGGCCCCGGGGGCAGGCAGTGACCCCTGTGGGAAGGAGTCCTGGAGGGGAGGCCTGGGAAGGGGGCTTGTAAGCAGCTGTGCCGGGGAGTGTGGGCAGAACAGACTCTGAGCAGAGGGGCTGGCTCCAACAGGAAGAGAAACAGAGACAGAGGAGACAGCAACTCTTCTGAACCTGCAGCTGGTGGCTGCCCTGTCCTGAGGCTGATGTGGGGCCATGGACACGCCCAACACCCCATGGGGCAAGGCCCTGCCCACCAGCCTCATGCCTCTGCCTCTGTGTCCACCCCTGCCTACCCACCTGCCATGAGGGAGGGAAGCGGAGTCACCAGGCCCTGGCCAAGCTCCAGCCTGGTCCTACCTCCAAGTCTCAGCCACACCAGCCCCCTGCTGCCTCCTGCTCACCCTTCCTTAGCTGTCACCACCATTCGACTCCCACCCTTCGCTCAGACCCAGCAGACAACAGCCCCTGCTCTGACCCTCAGGGAGCTTTCCCATCAGGGGTCTTTGACCCATGGCTCCTGCCTCCTCAGGGCTCTCCCTGTAGAACTGTCCAAAGTGGGATCCATAGAACACTAGGCCCACCTCATAGAGAGGGTCATGTGGTCAAATGTCAGAAAAACACTGTGAACTCTGTGGCCCCAGCTGCATAGCATAGGAGTGTGTTAAAGGCTCTGAGAAGTCCTGCAGGGATATAGCTGGCTTAATTTTGTTCATCTGGCATTTCTCAAACTCTGGTGACCATACCATCAGTTTTTTGCATAATCTCCACTCCCAGCCCATGGGACTGTGCACTCAGCCTGTCCTTCAGGAGAGAAAATAGCCTTGTCTTGCCCAGTGGCTGCTCATACCATGTTCTCTTCCCCGGACTTCCTTTCTCATTTTCAGATGAGAAGCTGGGGATCATCAAGTAGCTGCTCAGAACCCCACACCCTCCCTCTGGCCGGCTCTAGGCGCCCTGAGGTCTGCTTTTCACCAGCAGGTCCGACTGCCATCCCAGCCCGGCTCCTGGGAGGCTAGGATGATTAAATGGGCACCGGGCAGAGATGAGTCGGAGCCTGGCCAGCTTCCCCCAACCAGCACCAGCCAGCTCTTGGCCATGACCAGCTCCTGTGGTCTCTAGCTCAAGGCTGCACAGGGCCAGACAGGGGCCAGACAGGGAGGCTGGTCCTCTCAGCATGGGGGCTGTGGACAGGGCCCCCTCCTCAAGCCCAGGCCAGAGTTGGGTTACAAGCTCTGAGGGTCTCCTAATGAGTTCCACATGCGAGTGAGGGCCTCTGAGAGGAAATGGGAAGGGGCTGGGGGAGGGGGAGAGGGGCCTGAGAGGGGACTGGAAACATGTGTTTGGAGGAGGAAGCCAGGGGGAGGGGGAGTGGAGGGAAGACTCTCCGCAGAAGTCTTGTGCCCACCCCCACAAGGTGGCTGCCAGGCTCCCAGCCCCTGCAGGAGGCCCCCAGGCCAGCAGTCTTGGGGGGAGACCCCTTAGAGGGCCCACTCCTCTCCAGGCAGAAAAAGCCCCAAATCCTTGGCCCTGCTTGACTGGGGTTCTGAGCCATTAGAGGCAGGATAGAACCAGGTGGGTGGGAGGGCCCATGGGGGCATGATGAAGCCCCTCCACAGCCAGCCAGCTGGCCAGCAGCAAGATCCTCATTCAGATCCAGCCCAGCTACCCAACCAGAGAGCCCTGGATGCAGCGAGGCCACTGACCTGTCAGCCCTGACCCCCACCTTTGCCCCTCTTGGCTAGCAGGTGGGCAGGGAGGCCTGGCATGTGGGTTGGCTGCCCCACCCTCCCTCCCTGTCCAGTGGGGGCCATGCCTGGCCATTCAGATTGGCCTGGTGGCTGGAAGCCTCATTAGGAAAAGGCTGTCTAGGAGCCATGTTGGCATGTGGAGTGGGGTGTCCAATGAGAGAGACCCATGGTGGTTAGGGAGCAGACTGAGGGCCTCATGGGGTACAAAGGGTGTCCCTCCCAGGAACACTGGTTGAACCCCAGGTTTCTAGTCAGCTGACCAAGGCTGAGCCTGGAGTAGGCCTTGTAGTCAGCTGGCCGGCCTGTAGCATTCTGATGCTGGGGGCCCAGACCTTCAGCCCCCACCCACCTCCAGCCACCTCCCCAGGCCATGGATTGGAGCCCTGCAGGCACAAAGTCTGTTCTTAGAGCTTTGTGTGAATTGTGAGAGCAAATCTTTCCCGCAGCCCTGTGAGGCCAGTGCTACTCTTACCCCATGCTGTGGATGAGGAGGCCAAGGCACAGAAAGGTAAAGTCAGAGCATTCCTGGCAGTAGGGACAGTAGGTACAAAGGCCCTGGGGCTGGAATGTTCCTGGTGTGTCCGAGGAATAATCAGGAGGCTGGCGTGGTGGGAGGGGCATGAAGGGAGGGTGGAGGGTGGTAGGAGATGGGGGTGGGGGAATGGGCAGGATTGAGTAGGGCCTCTTGGCTGTGGTGAGCATTGTGGCCTATACTTGAAGGAGGCTGGGGAACTGCTGGAAGGGGTTGAGCAGGGATGGCATGAACTATCTTACAAGTTTTCTTTTTATTATTATTTTTTAATCTTACAGCTTAGCCGACTCTGGTTGCTATGTTGAGAACAGAGGGAGTGGGCCAAGGGCAGAAGTAGACCAGGCAGGAAAGGAGCAGGCATCATCTCAGCAGGTCCTGGCTCCTTGTGGGGCTAGCTCAGGATGGCCTGAGTGGTGGGCAGATTGGAAGGGCTCTCACCTGACCTGCCCCAGCCTAAGCCCCCTTCCCTCACCAGAGGGGCCTCCATAGCTGAGGTTCCCCCAAACCAGAGGCAATTATCCCAACAGGAGCTTTGGGAGGAAATACAGATGGCCAATAGGCACATGAAAAGATGCTCAACATCGCTGATTATTAGAGAAATGCAAATCAAAACTACAACGAGGTATCACCTCACACCAGTCAGAATGGCCATCATCAAAAAGGCTACAAACAATAAATGCTGGAGAGGGTGTAGAGAAAAGGAAACCCTCCCACACTGTTGTTGGGAATGTAAGTTGGTGCAGTCACTGTGGAAAACAGTATGGAGGTTCCTTAGAAAACTAAAAATAGAATTACCATATGATCCAGCAATCCCACTCCTGGGCATATATCCAGACAAAACTAGAATTCAAAAAGGTACATGCACTCCTATGTTCATAGCAGCACTATTCACAATAGCCAAGACATGGAAACAACCTAAATGTCCATCGATGGATGAATGGATAAAGAAGATATGGTACATATACACAATGGAATACTACTCAGCCATAAAAAAGAACAAAATAATGCCATTTGCAGCAACATGGACACAACTCGAGATTATCCTACTAAATGAAGTAAGTCAGACAAAAAGACCAATACCATATGATATCACTTATATGTGGATCTAAAATATGACACAAGTGAACCCATCTATGAAACAGAAACAGAATCACAGACATAGAGAACAGACTTGTGGTTGCCAAGGTGGAGGGGGTTAGGTGAGGGATGGAGTGGACTTTGGAGTTAGCAGATGTAAGCTTTTATATATAGAGTGGATAAACAAGGTCCTACTGTATAGCACAGAGCACTATATTCAATATCCTATGATATGGGACTTCCCTGGTGGTCCAGTGGTTAAGAATCTGCCTTCCAAAGCAGGGGACATGGGTTCGACCCCTGGTTGGGGAACTAAGATCCCACATGCCACGGAGCAACTAATCCCGCGGAGTGCAACTACTGAGCCCACGTGTTCTGGAGCCCATGCACCACAACTAGAGAGCCCATGCAGTCTGGAGCCTGTGGGCCACAACTAGAGAGAAGCCCGCATGCCACAATGAAAGATCCCACATGCCACAATGAAGATCCCGCGTGCCGCAGCTAAGACCTGACACAGCCCCAAACAACAACAACAAAAATCCTATGATAAACCATAATGGAAAAGAACATTAAAAAAAGAATGTATATATATGTATAGCTGAATCACCTTGCCATATAGCAGAAATTAACAACACTGTAAATCAACTATACTTCAATAAAAAAATATTAAAACTGGAAAAAAAGGAGACCTCGGGACATGTCTCAAAGGGCATGGGCATCCTTGTAGAACCTCACAAACGACCCTAGCACACCCCAACTGTGAGGGGAACTGGACCCAACCCCAGAACCAGGGCAATCCTGGGAGCAAAGGTCAACTTCAGAGTTGCAGCCAAGAAGTCCCACAGCAGCAGCCCAGACGCGGGCCAGCCCAGGCCTCTGCAACAGAAAGCACCTTCTGTTTCCAGTTAGCAGGCACATGTGAGCTGCTGCCTGGAGGGTCTGGGAAGACTAATTACATTGCTTCCCTAGCTCCAAGTTCCAGAGGCTTCTGGGGGAGCCAATCCAGCAGCAGCTGTCATGGAGAATGATCCTGGGGGTGAGGGTAGGGGTGGGGGGTGTGCTGGCCCCGGGGAACACGATCAGCACTCCCATCCCAACCCTGGGCATGAGGGCATGTCCTCGGGTGGCTCTGGCTGGGGTCAGTTTGAGGGGCTCGGTGCAGAGGTGGGGTGGGGCATCACAGGAGCTTCTGGGGGAGCTGGATGGTTCCAGAGAGGCCTGCCAGGTCAAGGCAAGGCCCTGGGTTGAGCCTAGCCAGGGAAGGGCAGGGGCAGGGCAGAGATCTGGAAGAGAGGCCAGGTGAGAAGAGCAGCTGCAGGGCACCTGTGCCCTTGGCCAGGCCTGAGACCAGGAGAACAACATGGACTGGGTGAACGTGGGCCCCAGGTGCTCAGGGACGGCCACAGGTCTGAAGTCAGTCTCCATTCCTCAGCTGAGTCCAGGTGCCCAGCTGAGGAAGGATGGAGATGGCCAGGGGCTGATGTCAGTATGTTGGCTGAGTGACACTGCTGACACGGGCCCAACTCCTGCAGGCCAAGCCTCTGCCCACGGAGCACCCATGAGAGATATCAAAGTCCCACTTTCAGGAACAGGCACTTGTGCCTGCAAGAGCAGCTTAGGACTGAGAAAGGAAAGCTGCCGGAAGATGTGACTTCCTCTCCTGCCCAGGTCCCCGGTCCGACAGTGCTCAGATTTCTCATGGGTGGTAGGAGACAGTGGGGGCGGGGGGAGGCCTCCTGCTACAGGCATCGCCCAGGCAGAAGGGGCTCGAGGTGGCCTCACCTGAAGTGAAACCACTCCCCAGCCTTGCTCTGTAAATAGGGTCGGGGAGAGTGTTTCCACACAGCAGCTGACAGCGGAGGAGGGGCCGGCACAGAAAGCTTCCTCATGGCTTTGCCCCAGGCTGTCTGGCCTGGCTCCAGTCTCATCTCGAGCACGAGCATGGCTGTGAGCGCCCCACGTTCTGGGCCTCTAGAGAGACTTCCCCCAGAGTGGCCGGCAGAGTGAACCCGGGGTGCTAGGGCTGGAGGCCACTCAGCAACGGGACAAGGCCCTGTGTCAGGGCGGTGATGCTCACAGGAAGTGAGCAGGGGCCCGCCTGCCTGACACTGACGCCTTGGCAAGGTGGTTCCCTCCTCGGCAGCATGGGGCGGGGTGGGGTGGAGAGGGGGTGCTTGGAGAAAACCCCGGGGCCCAGTTCTGTCCCGCTTAAATGGCCACCCACCAGTTAAGGCTGGAGCCATTAGGGGCCCCTCTTGAGCAGATCGTTTAGGAAGATGAGGGTAATGACAGGGAGCTGGGATAGTGTGACTCACCATGCTTGTGCTTGCTCAGCGGGCTGGGTTTCCGGGATTCCCGGCAATCACAAACACCCACCCGCAAGCCTGTGCTGGCCCTAGTGGCGGCCTCGGCCTTGGTGACAGAAGAAGAGGTGGGCTTGGAGGGCTTGCCTCCTCAGCTGGGGCAAGGCTGTCTGCCGGCCCAACTCCCCCCTCACCACTGGGGATCCCCGTAGCACGGGCCACGGGGTCAAGAGACCGTAACCCTGGCCACCCAGAATTTCAGAGCCAGAAGGACTCTGGGACCACCAGACTCCATCCCCATGGACATACAGGCCAAGTCCCAGGGAAGGGGTCGGACCCGCCAGAAGTCTCCCTCTAGTCACACACGGAGCACATTCTCCCTCTGAGCGCCTCATGTGCCTGATGAGACGGGCACTAGCTCACAAATGGTCTCCACAAGGTTACTGAGCTCATTCAAGGTCATGGAGCTAGCGGGGGGGCAGAGCCGGGATTTGGACTCTGGTGGTGCCCCTGACTCCCAGAGCGACCCGGACTCCCCTGCTCCGCCCTCTTGCCAGCCTGCCGTCACGCAGCGCGCCCCCGCTGAGATCATGGGACAGAGGACAAGGATGGTGCTGGGCGGGAGAATGGCAGTTTCCAGGACAGGCTAGCTCGTGCTACTCAAGTCTCTGGAGGGACACAGGCCTGCAGGGATCCATCAGCACTTAGTCTGTCAGGTACCCCTGGGAGTGGTGACTCAGTAATGAAGGGCGGCAGGCTTGCCATGGGCAGGGGTTGGACTCAGCTGCTGCCTTCTGGCTTGGCCTTCCAGCCTACCTGACCTGCCTCCCTCAGTTTCTCCGGCAGGGAGTACAGATTCATCCCTGGAACCCTGAGGATCTGGCACAGGGTAGGTGGGGGATTGCAATTTAAATCACAGACACCTGTTCTTTCACTTCACATGTTAGGAAAATTAGGGGATGAAGGGATGGGGTGGGGGCTGGGAACTGCCACTGAGATGTACTTCCTAACAAAACCCCACTAACCTAAACACATCTTCCTAGCACAAAAAAAAAAAAAAAAAAAAAAAAATTGCAATTTGGTTTTCTGGGAGCTCAGTTACCAAAATCCAAAATTAGGAGAGATGACGGCTGAGCTGAGGCATTTATATTTCCAGGGGCTGCTTCTGAGCTTGGCAGCATGGGTGGGGGATGAGGAAGAGCCCCCGGCCACAGGGGAGCTGCCTGGGAGGGCTAGCAGGGAGTGTCATGTGGGGAGACGCCACAGGCCCTGTCATGTGGCCCTCAACTGGGCCGAGCCACCTCAAGCCCCGCTAGGCCTCCCCACTCCTCCTGTGCTTATAAGGGCCCCTCCCCAACCCCCCCATAGTCAGTCCTGCCTGCCACCAGCCCAGACCGTGTTGCCCAGCTCGGGGGCCTGCAGCACCTTCACGGGGGCGGGGCTTGGAACTGAGGCTAGACAGACAGTCCCCAGAGCAGTCAGAGCACCCTAGGGTTTTCTGTCTCCCTCCCGCCAGGAGCAACCTGCCCCTAGATTCTCAGAGCAGTGAGGTCCTGGGTCAGGCCCCACATGAGCAAAAAAAGGAACTCTTTGGGGAACAACATGGCCAAATGTGAGCCTGAGCCCTCACAGCTCTGCCTTGGCGAGGTCACACACACTGACCCCCAGGCTTGGAGATGGCAGGTCTCTGTGCTGTTTTAAAGACATATGCAGCTCTCCAAGAACCATCCTTCTCCCCAGTTCCAGATCTGTCTGGTGGCTCCGTCAAGGCAGGTGTGAGTGGCAGGAAACCCCTCAGGAGGGCTTGGCCCGGGCCACTCGTGCAAAGCCCTCCCAGAAGCCCATGGCCACGGCTCTGGCCCGCCTCCATCTGGGAGGGTCCAGGTCGGACTGTCCCAGGACATGACAATACTGTCCTACCAGACAAGGGGTGTGCTGTGTGTGTGGGTGGTGGTGAGTACCCCTCTCCAGACTGTTTACATCTGACAATGGTGATGGGACTTCCAGGGGAAAACAGTACACCACTACCTCCCAGCCCACTTCCCAAATCCCTAGCAGACCCTCAAAAATCCTCATTTTCTCCCACAGAGAAAGGGAGATTTCAGAGAAAAATTCGAAACTTGATCCTGGTGTAAACTGAAGACACGATGGGTGGCAACCCTTGCCTGGCCTGTGAGCAGAGCTGCTGCACAATGCCTTGGAGACCCTGCTCCTGTCCTGTTGCACCATCTGTGTCTTTGGAGAGGATCTCGCCTGGCCTGGCTGCTCGGATCACCAGAGCCCCAACACCTGGGAGCTCCAGCTCCACTGGCTGCAACATGGCAGCCAATGTCTCATCAGTGGCAGGGCAGCCAGCATGGGAGGGGATGACAAGCCTGGCCCCACAAGCTGTGTCCCCTCTGAGCAAGCTGACTTAGCATTGCCCAGACTCCCTAAAAGCCTCCAGGGACAGGGAGCCCATGACCTCCCGAGACAGCCAAGGGTCTTACCTGCCAATTTAGACCAGCAGGACTTCCAGGCTCTTCTACACACTAGCAGGGCCACGTGGGAAGACTGCAGCAGGTTCCTGGGGGCCTCCAAAGCGTCCTGAGCCTGCAGCCTCTTCCCACATCGTCCTAGAGGGAGTGATAGGGGCGGGGAGCCACGGGCCTCTGTTAAGTACCTACCTCATCGCCACCTGGTGGGGTGGTTACCACCACCACCTGACACAAGAACCTGAGGCTCAGAGAGGTTATGTCACCACGTTGAGGTCACACGGCTCGACCAAAGGCAGAGCCTGAGGCCTAACTGCAGACTACAGCTCTCTCCCCATCCAGGTGGAAGAGGCAGCTCCTCCAGGCTTGTCGTTCATCGGTACTCAACATAGGCTGGCTCTTGTCAGCCCAAGCTCTTAGGTGTTCAGACTCTGCTCCCACCTGGAAGCTGCAGAGGCTGGGAACCTCATTAGCTGCTTGGTACTGACAGCTCCCGGGAAGATCTAACACCGCCCTCCCCCCAGGCCCCAGGGCAGGGCAGGTGTGTTGGAGGGTAAATACCTCTCTGGCTGGCTGGGCCCCAAGAAGCTGAATGCATAAGGCATGGACGACACCCAGACATATGGGAAACACTTGCCTGGCTTTCCTGCAAGGATGCAGGGGAAGCTGACTATGGAACCCTCACGAGCAAGAGGAAAGGCAGGTGCCCGAGGCCTCCAGGTCTCAGCTGAAGCAGCCAGCCAGGCCAGCCAGAGGGACAGGGTGTAGGCAGGGGCTCTGGCTGTCCTTGCTCCTGAAGACCCCGAACGGCTGCAAACAGGGTGTGCTGGGCTTCAGAGGTGATCCTGGCAGGGGCCCTCCCAAGAAGCCATTTTCATTCTCCCTTTATAGGTCCTGGGGATGGGGGGACTAGGTCTCACTCAGAACAAGCCATTTCACTGACGAGCTCCATCAAGTCCGTTTTAATGTTCAGTTTCCTCTGCCCTCATGCATGCAGAGGAGGAAGCCATCAGGCCCCAGTGAACATGTGTGGGGCAGAAATCAAGGCCACTGCAAAGCCGCCCCCCTCTCCAGAGTGCTTGTTCCTGGGTAAATCAGACACAGATGGGCCCACTTTGGGCCTTTTGTCAGATTTATAGGAAACTCCTGGCTCATCCAACCAATGAGTAGTCCATTTCTACGCTGGGAAAGGTCGGTGGGGGAAGCCAGTCATACGGTAGAAAGGTTCGTAAGGGAAAAGTGGACTCCGCTTAGGACTCCAAGGTAGCAAACATTTTCAAGTGGCTCCTTCACATTAAACTAAACGTGGTCATCTGTGGGTATGTGGGGCCTCCCACAGCCAAGTGGAGAGTCTCCAGGTGCGGACGGCTTGGGTGCAGGGCAGAGGTGCAGGACCCCTGGGGCTCTGGGATGGATGTGATTCCCAGAGCTGAATCCCCTCTATTTATTTACCCAAGTTCCCTAGTACAAATCCCCGGCCTGTCACCCCCCAAATCGACCGAGCTCTTGATTCTTGCTCCCCTGATCATGGTGGTGTTCTCTGCATGATTAGCTGCTGGTTCTCCAGACACTGCTTCAGCTTGTCTTCTGTCAGTGTCAACCGCTGCTCCAGGATGGAGACTGTCTGCAAAATAAACGGTCAAGCTCAGAGGATGGAGGGGCCATCGGGCTGCCCTGGGGATGCCCTCAGGCAGTCCCGCTCAGCTGTCTCAGCCCGCTGAACAAATGCCAGCTCTTCCCACCCAGGGCTCCTTCCTGGCGCCTTGTCTCTGGTCTTCATGTCCACTCCTGCTGGTTCGGGATGGTTGTTCTCTGATGTTTGTTGGGCAGCGGGAAGGACATAGTGAGGGAAAGTAGGCAGCAGGTCCCATAGTCCTCGATCATTGTCCAAGACAGCCAAGGGTGAGGAATCCCCAGCCCCGGTGGTCTGGCATTTAGCCTGGAGTTCCAGAGCAGAACCACTTGCTCACGTGGGCCAGGCTCTGTCCATAACCAACCAGAGACCGTCAAGCATCTCCATTCCAAAGGTGAGAAAACCGCAACCACAAAAGAAGGCGCCCCACCTGGGTCCTGCCCACACCTCAGGCCCTTTATCTCTACACCTGGAGGGGCTTCCCAGGCCCTTGAGCCCAGGAGGGCCTCTGCCTGTCCGAGTCCACTGAGGACCATTGCAGGAATGTGCTGTTTGGGGGTTAGGCCCTAATTCCCCGGTTTTGAGCCCATTTTCTCCTCTGTAATGGGAAGGATAATGCCAAGCTCACAGCAGTCCCGGAGACTGAGAGGTGACAGCATGGTGCCCATGTTGTCCACCATGACAATGCCTGTCATGTTGACTTCCAGACGCAGAGCCTTTGCTCCCTGGCCTCTCCTGCATACCCAGCATGATGGCTGGCTTGTGAACCTGGCTTCCAGACAAGGCTGCAGAAAGCTGCCCCCTTCCTCTGGCTTTGGACAGAGTGTTGACAGAGGGGCAGTGGTGTCCAGGCCCACACCAGGCCCTGGGCAAGTCCACTGTGAATGAAGCAGGCTTGGTTCCTGTGCCATGCAGCCTACCGGCATCAGAAAGGGGTCAGATTAAGAAACAAAACTTTCTATTAATTTTACTCATTTGTGGGCTTTCCCAAGAGGTTTTGCCACCTTCCCTGAGGCTCCATGGAGGCTCTGGGCCTTGGTCCAGTAGAAAGGAAACTTTCCTTTCACATATTTAATAAAACATTGAAACATTTTGGGAGGGAGTTTCCCCTCTAAGACTGCTATAAATTTTTGCAGCATCCCACATGGATGTCAGCCGCTCATGGAGGCTGCTCCTCCTGGCGGCTGGCCCCTTCTAGATGAGTTGGCCGGGCTGCAAAGGCTCTGAGCCCTGGGGCACAGGACAGAGCCTGAAAAGTTACTGCCTGTGGAATATGAACTGCACCCTGAGAGGTAGAGCTGAGCTGAAAGAGACGGTCAGATTCCCCTCTGCTGGCCGGTCAGCCATGGAGGGGGTCTGCAGCTCATAAAAGTGGCGGCGGAAACAGCCCCCGGCTGGCCCAGAGCAGCATTCCTGGAAGTTTCCACTGGCTGCTGCAAAACTCACACTGAGCCAAGCTCCAAAATCATTCCTCATCCAGACTTTTTCCGATGGCTCTGGACTCCAGGCCCCAGTGGGGGAGCCAGCCAGCTTTTCCTCTTCTGCCCAGCACCATCCCCCTCCCAACACACACACACACACACACACACACACACACACACACACACTTAAAATTTTTTTTTTTCTTCACAGGGACAGAATTTCCAAATGTGGAGGCAGCGGGTGCTGGGCCAATGTCAATACCAGGGGTGCCACGCATTTCACGAGGCCTCTACTTAGTTCCATGGGGGGCCCATACTTCAGCTCGGTAGAAATATGGCATTAAATCTGATGATGTTAAATTTCTTTGAACAGAAAAGCATCGCTTATTTCACCTCCAGCCCCCTGAATGGAGGGAGGGTGTTGGGGGTCCTTCCTTTGGGAGCTATGAGGGGATGCTTCATAGCACGTTAGAGACAAACAGGCTGAAAAAAAGTCCACCCTTCTCAAACCTGCAGCTTCTCCCCTTTCCCAGGCAAGCTTCTGGAAGAGTCACGTCATCTCTGTGTTTGGTGTCCACTTTCCCTACTCCCTGCGCCCCCAGCCTACTCTGCCAAGATGCTCAGTGGCGGCCACCATCCAGAGATTAAGTCCACCCAGCTCTTCCCCGTCACATATGATCCCGTCCAAACCCCTTTTGAGCTGGAAGGATGGGCCAGGAAGAGGAGGACGGACACTTTGGATTTCTGTGCATTAGAACACAGTCTCTGCTTCACAAATTTGTCTTAATAATCCCATTCCACTAAAGCATGGGACCTCATTTTCATGGGAAACGGTTATCCCTCCTGATAAAGTGAAGCCTGGAAACCCTGATCTCCGATTTGCTGATATGCCTTCCCTCCACCAGGAAAGGGCTTCCCCACTGATGAAAAGGCTCCGATCAGGGAAGCCAAGTAGCAGAGGTCAGACACGCTCAGGGCTGGCAATGCACACAGCGAGAGGGCAGGCAGGCCGGCCACCTGCAGGGAGTCAGCCAGGCCACCACAGCGCGCGCCACGGCCACCGTGCTTCCCCAGCTGCTGGGGCCCCGTGCGAGGAGGGAGCAGCATCGCTAGCAGGGACCGATTCCAGGCCATGTCATGTGGCTGTGTTTGCAGCGTGACCTTTACCTGTTGGTTCAGAGCAATATCCCCACAACCAAGTGTCAGGGGCACAGCAAGCCTCCATGAGTATGTGCTGCCTCAGCACCCAGAGGGCAGAGCAGAGCCCGCAGCCGTACCCTCCAGAGGCTCGGGGCCACGCCAAGCAGGCTGCTCGTGGCTCACCCCACCTCGTACTCTGGCCCAGCCCTGGGAATTCTCGTCCTGCTACATGGTGCCCATGCTCCCCAGGCCCGGAGACAAGGCCCGCCTGCCCTGGAAGGTGAGGAGAAGCACTGGAAAGGCAGACACCTCTGCAGTCCCTCTAAGTCCACACTCCCAGCCCAGTCACCTTGCTTTCCTTTTATTCAAGGGTGAATGACCTGGTCCCAGCCTCTCACAGAGTCCCCAAGGAGTTGAAAGCTGGGTGTGGTGGCAGGTGTCAAAAAAGGAAATGGCCCTGCCTGACATGGGTGTCCGTGGGCCTCTGACTTAACTTTAAGTAGGGCGAAGGGAAACTGGAGAAGGGGCTGAGGAGTCTAGGGTTCTGGCTGCTGGGCAGACCTGTCTGGGCAACGCGTCTGGGAAAGACGGCCATTAGCCGGAACTCCTTCATTCTGGGGTCCAAACTCTTCCACAGAGAGGGCCCTCCTGTCTGTTGACCTTGGAGAAACCAGGCAGCTCATGCCCTCTCCCTGGCCCTGTGCCATCCAGACACGAGGTCCCCTTTGTAATTGGGTGTGAAGCCCAGACTCGAGGGAAGACCCAGGACTGGGTTCTGGGGGGCCATCCTGATTCCTGACACACTCTGCTCCAGGGGCTGCTCGACAGCTGACACTCACGGAGTGCTCACAGTATGCCAGGCATTCTATTCCATACAATGACCCCTCAGGGTGGGAGCCTGTATCACCCCCATTTTTTCCGATGAGGAAACCAAGGCACCAACCAAGTGATACTAACTTGCCAGAAGTCACACAGCATATAAATGACAAACCTGGACTGTGAACCCTGGTGGCCTGGCTTCAGAGTGCTGGCTAAGGCACCGGGAACTGTGCACCTTTGCTCTGTCCCCATCCACCACATATAAGGAGAGGCCTAACCTACTCCTTCCCCCGCCGCCCCTGCCCCCACCGCTCGCTCTGGCATCACCTGAGGGCTACTGGCCCTGTGACCCAGCAGACCTGCTTGTCCCCCACCCTATGGCCAAGCTCAAGCAGCCTGAGAACATGCTCCTGGACCTCTGTGCTTACGCAGAGGCAGCCACCTTCTGTCCTGTCCAAGCCACTTGGTCTGGTGGCTCTGGATTAAATGAGCAGGAGCGGATGGAAGGGCCATCCCTCAGGGTCACCCAGCAGCGCCCTCACACCATCAGGCCACCCACCCTCCAAGGCAGTTCCCAGGCCTCAGACACCTCCAATGCCCATGAAGTAGAGTCTCTTATCTGGCTAAACATTTAGGTTTGGAATTATCACAGAAGTCACAGCTATGAAAAGGCAATATTATAGGGTTAAAAGGGACATACCGACAAGAACCTTTTAATAGATATGCAATGAGAAACGACCCTAACACCTTAATTTCAGATGCCTTCTCTCACTGGGGCGTTTATGCTGCTACAGCGTAAGAGATCAGCCCCCAGACATGCTCTGGTACTCGCCCTGGTCACTGCTGGCGCCCCACACCTCCCAAGACTGGGCTTGACTTCAAACAAGGCACCTCCCTCCCTGAATGGGAGCAACAGGAAGCAGAATTCAGACTCCACGCCCGGACACTGTTACCCCTGCCCAACACTGTCTGCCTCCCGGGGTCATGGCCTTCACCTGCAAGCCACGCGGGAGCCCCTTGGGGCAAGGTCATAGGGGATCCATAATTGTCACCTTCAAAGTCACACCTGTCTGAGGGTCAGGTGGGGGCTTGTTTCAGAACCACCTTCTCCTGCTGTTACCAGCGATTTCCAGGAAGCCACAGCCCTTTCTCATGGAAAATCGTTTCCTTAGAAACACTCCCTTCGCTGTTGAATGAATTCTGTTGTTTCTCTAGACCAAGGGTTGGCACACTCAGCCTGCTGTCTGTTCTTGTAAATAAGGTTTTATTGCTGTGCCCATTTGCTTACATATTGTCTGTGGCTGCTTCCTGGCTACAGTGGCAGGTTGAGTAGTTGTGACAGACTCTTATGGCCCCCAGAGCCTAGAATATTTACCATTAAGAAAAAGTTTGCCAACCTTGGCCCTAGACTCTTCACTCACTCAGATCCTCCCCAGGCACCACGCTGTACTGGCCTGTGCCAGGCCCGGGGTGACAATGGCCCAGAGCAGACAGACTCAGCTGGGCCCGCAGGGTGCGCAGCAGGTTGAAGAGGCAAGCGCTAAGCAGCTGCGCAGACCAGCGGGGTGCGCTGGGAAAATGGAAGGCGCTGCTTGGTCAGAGCCAGGTGAG